ATATTGCATCCATATTTTTTTTTCTCATATTTCTAGGACCCTCAATAAAACCAGCAGGCAACACCAATGATCTACCAATTTTATAACCTCTATTCTCACCATTTTGAACGCTATCTACAATTCCCTGATATACTTCTGCTCTTATAATTTTTTGGTTATTGCAAAAGTATTCCAATCTTGATGTTTCAATTTTAACATACATATCCACTACATATTGCTGTAAGAGTCTACCTGTATGTAAAAGAAGACAATTGTTTTCAGACCTGATTTGGAGTTTGTAGGAATAATATTCTCGACAAGATACTGTCATTCGTTTACTCCTTGTTTTCAAAACTGAAAAAATAAACACATATATATCAATGAAACCTATTCATCATCTATTATCTATAATAAGATAAATACATTTAGTCAATAAAACGTAAATTATTATGAGTAATAAATTTTACCATCATCTTTTATTGCCAAGAGCTCCTCAGCTGAGTGGAGATTATTAGTTTCTATTAAATTTTCACAAACTCGAGGTCGGGATACATTCACATTTACCTTCTCAATACTTTCATGTCATCCGAGTTCTCCATACGGGAAAAGTAATGGATATTGATGTGGATCATAACAACCATAATAATATTAAATTTTATACACGCTACCCGAATGTTCATAAATTAATAAATCCCAACCCCGAGTATTTTCAGATGGGCCATCGTCAACCCAAACTACAGCCCCCTGTTGTGATGTTGGCAAATTATATGTTCTCTGATCAAGACCTGGATCACACCTCAGTAAAATTCGACAAGATTCTAGATCAGTAACTTCACTCAACGATCTCAATCTAAAAAAGTTAGAATACGGATTTTTGTTTAAAATGTCCATCAACTTTCTCAAAGTCAATTCACAAAACATGTCTGAAGTATTAAGTCTATTATCAATTTCATTGTCAGTATCATAGAAGTATAGTTGTAAATATGTTGGACGACAATCCAGCGGTACAAGAGAGTTTATAAAATGATATATTTTCCCCTGAATTCTGAAAGTATATACCTTTATTATTCTTACACAATTCTCTGTCATACTTAACACCAAATGAAGTGAATGCAAAATGATTGTTATAACTGCGAACAGCTTTCTTAAAAGCAATAGCCTCTTCAGATGTAGACGTAAATAAATAGAATAGTTCAGGAGGCATATTATGTAACTGTAATTTGACCTTTCCATTACAACAACAAAAGCCCTTGCTTTTTGCTCAGAATTTTTTTTCACCACAATGTGTACAAGTTCTAGGACATTGCAAGACAAAAGGTTCAACAGGAATATTTCCCCTATCAATTTGTCCTGCACACTCAACACTAACATCAACATCCGACTGACATTTAACATGATTATCCTCATAATTTTTATTTAGCTTTTCACTAACACAATTTTCATCAATAGCTACATCAATTGTTTGATCCTTCTGTAAATCAATTTGAGATTCAAGCTGATCATTATCACAACCTAAAAGAAAGAAAGAATAAAAAAAACATTTTCAAAAGAAATTTTGTAAGAAAAATATTTATAAAGCTTAAGGGTATGATAATCTATTGTTAAATACAAACCTGTTAAACTGAAGTTTCTCACACGTCGATGATGTTGCACTTCATAGTTGTTATTGGATTGCTTTTGTTTTCTTTCTCTTTCTAACTGAGTACGCTTATTCTTAAACCACTCACGAATGTTTTTTTTTTTCAGAAATATGACTATGTGAGGATAGGTAGGAAGCTATTTGTACAATTTCTGTATTAGTTGGACTTTCATTTCCTCCATCAAATATGGTTTGAAGAATATCAAGCTGCGTAGATGTAGGTACCCAACATTGTCTTCCCATAATTAAATTACCTAACAATCCATAACTGAATTTTGTTACAATTAAGATGTTGGAAATATGTAACATGCAAACTGTGAAAATAAAGAAGAATGTAATAAATTAAATAGAATGCATAAAAATTATCTGTGGAAGGAATTCTAGAATAGCGGTGGGGGTGGGGTGTAAGAGCGGTACCAAGAGAGTCTTAAGTCGTGAAGTGAGGTAGTAAAAAGATGGAAGTGTCAGACAGCCAGCAGCCAGCACAAATCATTGGAAAATCATCATATATAATAAAAGAGAAGGAAAAAAATTAAAATTTATAATGATAAAATTAATCTACATTAACCACGCACAAAACAATGCAGACTTTGGACTGGGTTAAATAACATTGGCAGAATGTATTTCATTCTTTTCCCCTGCTTTGTGAAGAGAAATTCCAGATTTGAATTAATACATGAGAAAACTTTACTAAACAGGCTAAAAATTTAATTAACTCAGAATAACGATCTAAATAATATCCAGAAGTAACTTATTTCCATACTTCACGATTTCTGCCAACATTGCTGATTTATGATATACACAAGACATAAATGAATTAAGAAGATAATAAGCATTTTAATTTTCATTAAACCGAACATACCTCTCTATTCACACAAAAATCCAAAATTGTCAATCCAATAAAACAAAATTATAATTATTAGATAAAACCAAGGATAAACAAAATCATAATCTGAGTCATGCCAGGATTTACCAGAATTTTGCACGAAGAGATTAATCACAAAAAGTATTCACTTGAAATAAAAAATGTTGCACATACAATCTTGAATAAACAAAAAATAAACAAAATAGAGAAAAATGGCATGCCAAGGATTTACCTCTCTATTCACGAGAATTTTGCACGAAGATTAATCACAAAAAAAAAGGAGAGAAGAATTGAAGAAGAAGTGAGAGAAGAAACTGTCTAGGTTTACGTGGGAAAATGAAGAAGTGAGAAGGAAATGAAAGAAATGGGTAAAGCTAATATCTACAGTGAAATGGGTATGGCTTCACTGGTTTACCTACAATAGAACTCCCAACACTATTGCAACTACAATCAACTTTATTCATCTTTCTATAAGTAGTTAGAAAAGTATAAATTACACCTACTTTTCATTTCAACAATAAGGCACGAGATATTTTCTTTCAAAAATAGGTATACCCTACCCCACTGCACCCACCCTAAACATTTCCACCCAAAAAAAGCTCACTTCTCCTTCGACTGCTGCTTTTGGCTGTCGTGCACCCATAGCTATGAATGGGCGTTGCTACGACACTGAGCGACTCGTCCTTGTCATTCTTCTTCTCTAGTTGTTACTTTCATCTCTTTGCCTATCATGAATGCACATTAGTGATGGGCATCATTGTGGTCGTAGCTGTGATAGCAACGATATATGTGCGAAGGGTTTTTCTCTCTTTCTTGCTCCCCCAATTGCATTTTTGTTTCTCTCCTTTCAATTTTAGGGTGGTGGAGTGGTGGTTGTATGAGCAGTGGTAGTGTGGCGATCTAGCATTATAATATAGTACGAAGAATGGAAGAATAATTGCAAAAGAAACATGGGAATCGTAGGATAGTGCATCATTAAATTTTTTAAGTCAACTATTTCCATATATTCAAATAAACACTCTTGATGAGATGATGATGATAATAATAATAACAACCTCAATTTAACTTTTTGTCAAAACATCAATAATAATAAGTGTAGGGGCTCACAGTCGTGCACAAACACTTTTGGCTTTTCCTAGCCACACGGTTGGCACAAAAATGCTTAGCGTCCCAAACAATTAGGCCTAATCTGCCGTGCTAGGCCATCGAAAAGTAGATTGATCCAGCCCGCTTTTCATTTCTAATACAAAAGAGAGCCATTATTATCATCTACTATTGTCACATATCTATTCACTATTTTTTTTTTTAAATCCGTTGACCACGTCATCTGTGCTGAAATCCAAGTGTGCACGAGCCTTAAGCGTAAATTGAATGAAGTCGGAATTTGTTGGTCACATCATCTGTGTAGAAATCGAGGTCAATAATATCTACCTTGTATCTATTATCTCTATCACTGTCTTCTCTATATTCACTCCGTATCTATCATCATTGTCAACATCTTCATGATACCTTTCATCATTGTGTTGACTGTATTTGTCAACATCTTCAAGGTATCAATTATCTCTACGTCTATTACCCCTCTCATCATCTTCGACGTACTTATGATCCTTGTTCTAAATGTCTCTTGCAGTGCCTTCCTTTCTCCTTTGTATAGTTTCCTTGAGTTCCTTTTCCAACTCAGGATTCTGCAACTCATCTTGTTAAGGCCACTCTACCAAAAAGAGTATAAATATAGATTAAGTAAAAATCAAGAAATTAAAAAATATGACTAATCATGCAAGTAGAACTCAGCCAACGATCTAAGATAGCACCAAATATTTTTTCACAGGCCCAAATTGAACTTTTTAAAAGATAAAAGAAAATGGGATGATGGAATTGAAATACTGAAGGGTGGATTTGATTGCCAATATTTTCTATAAAAAATGTGTATTTTCTATCCAAACTTCTATTTTTGTATTGTTTGATTGACATTTTTTTCATGAAAAACATATTCCTACTTTGGCTACGTAACCATATTTTCCTAAAAATATATGAAAATATTTTTTCTATTGAGATTTTATTTTTAAGGGAATTCATTCTTTGTATCTCATCTATCCCTTCTCTATAATCAAACCACTAATAAAAAATGAAAAAAAAATAATATTTTCTAAATTGAAAAATAAATCAATCAAACACATTTAACTAATAATTTATTTTCTTTTCATGAAAATCCATGTTCGCAATCAAACGCACCCAAAATTCAATTTAATAAGAGTAACGTATTATATTTTTTATAAAATTTAAAATGTAATAGAGACAGTTTTAACTTTTAAAGTATAAGAGATATATAAAAGTGATGTAAATATATAGTATTTAAATACATAATTTTAATAAGGATAATGTTAAGACATAATGTAAATGAATATAATACCTTTTAAAATCTTAAAATTTTAATAGAATTAGATTTAAAGTAGAATAGAAATACAAGAATGATGAACGAAAACAGGACTCTCATCCATAAACCTATATCACCCAAGGGACAGAAGACTACTTGTAAAAAGCTCTGTATATAATTAAATATTGTTCGTCACAAAAGGGCAGATGAAGATGGCGGCGAAATTACCATGTGATATCATCATCGAAATACTCTCCAGACTTCCTGTAAGATCTCTGATACGTTTTAAATGTGTTTCAAAATCATTCCACTATTTGATTTCTAAAGATCCCAACTTCAAAAAGAAACATAAAAATCAGTCTGCGAAGTCGGTTCTTTATCTTGAATCTCCAGGAAATCGTGTTTTGTCAAACTCCCTTTCATCTTTTTCCAATGACGAAGAACGCATTCAGGATTTGAAGATTCTTGATACTCCAGTTAAAGGGTCAGAGATTTGGACCATTTACGATTCTTGTGATGGATTGTTTTGCATTGAAGAACGAGGACGAGGTGTGTTTGTATGGAACCCTTCTACCAAAGAATCGAAAAAACTTCCAGATTGTCCTATTGATATCAAAATTGTTCCTGGTATCCACTCACGTGGATTCACATATGCGATAGCTTATGACTCAATCTCAGATGACTATAAAGTATTCAGTATTTTCTTGTTTCTTGATATTGGAAAGGGCTTAAGGACTAAGTTAAAATCCTATTCACTGAAGAGTGATTCCTTGTGGAGAAAAGTTGAGAATTTCCCAAGTGTAGATCTCTGGAATAGGGAAAAATCTAACTTGTTGAACGGAGCATTCCATTGGATTGCTATACATGGCAAAGATAACAAAGAACCACTACCTTTTCTGCTTGTATCACTTGAAATAGGAACTGAAACATATAGAGAGTTATCACTACCATGGATTAGCTGTTGTACTCAACGTTTCCCGCAATTATGTGTATTGAAGGGAAAGCTTTGTTTGTACAACCTTTTCTTCAGTAAATCGTTTGATCTATGGGTGATTGAAGAATACGGTGTTATGGAATCTCTGACAAAAATGTTTACTATTCCTTTCTATGAGGATCAACCTCAGAGCACATATTTTACCCCCATGTATTTGTTCGAGGATGGTAAGATCATGTTAAAGGTGATAACTGGTGGACGAGTTCAAGTAGTCACTTACAAAGATGGAATACTTGCGTCCACGAATCTTGGTAATTCTAGTTATCAGAAGGCACGTATCTGGACAGAGACCCTTATTTCACCTCATCTAAACAACTGATCGCACATCCACGAATCTTGGAAAAAAAATTTGATGGTCTTTCTGTCAGTGTTTAATGTTTAAGAATTCGCTTTCGATTTATTTATTTGAAGTTTTTGCTGTCAGCTTATTGACATTCTGTATATAAGTACTTAAGTTTGGTTTAAGATGGTATGATTAAAAGTTTGTGATGCTTTGTATGGCAACGATAAATGTTTAAGAACACTGTTCTGATTTGATTCTTGGAAAGAATTCTATGAACTTTAATGTGTATATACTACTTTTCCTCTTGCAAATAAGTGATTGCACAATAAGATGATCTTATAAGTTATAATGCAGTAAACATGGGAGTCCTAGGATTCATTCAGGCTGTCTAATGAAAGTATTTTGCTGTCCGCGTTTACCAGGATATATGGTATATGAATTGGTTGGACTAGAAGTTAAAAGGCGGTCGAGCTGACCTGCCTTTGTGATAGCCTAGCAAAACCCAGTTATCTGTCGGGTCAAATCAGGCCAAATGCGAAGCTTGGCATGGTCTACCCCAAATAGTCTTGATAAAATGGATTGAAATCTTGAAATCACTTCCAATGAAAGCAACCGATATAAATTTCAACTCGGCAACATGGTTTTTGCTTGGGATTGCATGTTATAAGGAACATAAATCCAGCCGCATTCACAAAGGCTTGAAATATAAAACTACCTGGGAAATCTTCTTAAAACATTGTCTAAAGACTGATGTCAAGATTATCAATCTCAACAACACTTTTTCATTGCTCATTTTTCAGCTATCAGTATTCAACATTTCAACTTCCCTTCTTCGCTAATTAATTTCAATCTCATTGTGATTTGTGAAGTCTTGGCTACAGCATTGCCAATCTGAGATTATCTATTATCATCAACAGTTCTCCATTTCGAAACGATACTCTGCTGCTATGGAATAGCCCGACAAATTATGTGTTCTTCTGCATAATATATTTATCCAACTGCTACAGCCATTTGATCGCTAATTAACTGAAGCAATTACCTATAAGGTCCTGAATTGTTAGATAAATAATATTTACTTCCTTCAAGTTTCTGATATTATTTTTGACAAAGGCCGCCCTCATGGTTTTTGTCCAAAACTCCATAATGCATGAGCGGAGTCTAATTGGAGGTGGCTTAGGTATACATAAGGGTTCATGAGGAAAGCGATTGTCATATTGAAGTTGGGGTCATGCAGATGGATCCACAGATTAATTCTTATAGTAGGCAATCTAAGAAGCAAATTCTGTCAGATTTTCCGTACTGATATCTCGTAATACTCGAATAGTTTCATTATTCGTGGCTCGACAAGGCAATAATTGAACTTTTTGTTCGCAAAACTTAACAAGAAATTGACGGAGTGAGATTTGTGAAAGGAGTGATTGCCTTATTGAGTATGTGCACGCATCTTTATCGCACATGGAAGGGACTACTGATCAAAATGGTTTTGCAGTGCATCCTTTTGTCAAGAACTACTAGTCAAGAAAGTAAGGAACTTCCTGAGCACCTCTTGACAGAAGAAATCAGAAAGCATGTCAGGATCAAACCTAATAGACTCAAAATAGAATTTCATGGGAGTTAATGGCACTTTCGCTATCATTGAATATGCATGGTTTTAGATGAAAAAAGAGCTCAAAGAGTAGGTGAAATATGTAACAGACGATTGGAAATTAGCTCAAATGAAGGAGATGGTTCGTGGCTGAGATCTACTACCAAGATGTAGATGCTGTTGGAAACTAATTAGTTGCAGTAACTTGCGGAAACTTGCAGAACAATAAGATGTAGAAATAAAACTATCGACTGATTGAGTCTCGTGACAGCACGATGTCTTAGAGTGAAATTGCTCGTTAATAATTGCCGCAACCTCTGTGGACAATCGCTCCCAAGATACAACGATCAAACAAACCACTTGTACAGTAGTCATAAATGGTTTCAGAACTCTCAAGTGTACTTATATATATATATATATATATATATATATGTATGTATATATATATGTATGTATATGTATATGTATATATATGTAAAACTCAAGTATAAGAAATTACAGAATATGGAAATTATAATTTCATTTTTTATGTATTTTTTCCAAAATCATATAAGTTTTTATATAGGCACAATAGATATAATTGCCTTTATCATGATCTAGAAAGATTTGCAATTTTTAATGGAATGTGCATAATGACTTGTTGAAAAATGGTCATTTTATACTTGTCAGTTTGAACCATTAAATAATTTTGAAAATGATTAAAATTTAAAAAAATATATATTTTAATCAAGGAAGTCCAAGTCTCCAATCAAAGAAATTTTTATTATTGCATGGGATATGACTCGAACCTCCAATTTCCCACATAAATTTCACACTTTCTATCATTTGCGCACTTCATCTAAAATAGCTACTTTTTCACATATTATATTTATTGTCTAAATATCTAACGATCCCCTATATGAAAGAAATATGATATATATAAATTTTACTTTGAAGTACTGTAGAAATCACGCAGGCTTAGATATCTATCAATTTGAACCTTGGCTTTGTATATTCTATCGAGCTTGCTAACTATAGAGTGAACTACGTCTTGAGTTCTACAATTATAGTTGCAAACTGAAGCAATAGAGTACACATGACTTTTAAAACAATCATCGAGTTCTCGCAGTTCATTTCGATTGTAAACTTTTTCAGTTCCTTTTAGTGCTCTAGAGAGTTAGCCCCAATTCTCATAGAAAGCAGCTCTACTTCCACACCCAAATAGGTGCTTCTATCAAGGGTACATTGTATCTAAACATCCCACTGAATATCCGCTATAGTAAACATTAAGAGCATTAACTCATCCTCCAATCAATACAATTAGTACTACGCATCATAAGGAAAGGTTTGGCTCCAATAACTTTGTTGTCGCATTGGACATTTCCATAGGATCTCCAATCGCAAGATTGGTTTTCCATTATATGTGATCTAGTTTAGCCCAATTTTCTCGATGTTTTCTGAGCTAGCTCTCTAACCAATCATTTGGTTAATTAGTCAACAATATTATCACTTGATTTCACGTGGTGAATAGCTATAACCTCATCCTTAAGCAGCTTATGCACAGTATTGTGCCTCCTATAAATGTCTATACTTTTCATTGTAGGATGAATTTTGAACTCTTGAAATAGCTGCTTGATTGTCACAGCAGACAGAAATAGTTGGAAATGGTTTAGACCACAAAGGAGCATCAATAAGAAAAATCCTTAACCAATCAACCTCCTCGCTTATTTTATCTAAAGCTATGAACTCAAATTCCATAGTAGATCTCGCAATACAAGTTTGCATAGTGGATTTTCAAGATGCAGCACCGCCTGCTAATGTAAAAACGTATCCACTCGTAAATTTACTTTCACCGATATCAAAAGTCCAATTAACATTCACAATATCCCTTAAGTACAGCAGGGTATTTGGTATAATATATTCCGCATTCTAGAGTGTATCTCAAATATCTCAAGACTCAAATAAGAACATCCCAATGTTCAATGTTAGGGTTTCTAGTATACCGCTAAGTCTATTGACCACATATGCTATATCAGGTCTTGTGCAATTCATGAGATACATAAGCCTACCAATCACTCTAACATATTCTAAACCGAAAACACTAGAACTTGAATTTTTTCTCAAATGACGGCTTGCATCATAAGGTGTTTTAGCAGGAAAACAATTGTATTGGTTAAACTTTTTAAGCATTTTTTCTACATAGGGGGTGTTTGATATGCATTTTTATGTAAAAATGCATTTTAAAATAGTAAATTGATGTGAAATGTGTGGTTGAAAAATAAGGAAACTTTTTTGATTTACATGTAATATTATTTTAATAAAGAATGTGTGGTTGAAAAGAAGAGAGGGGGAAATGCATTTTGAAAAAAATGGCTACCAAACGGGCTCATAATGTGATTGCGTTAAAATTAATTCCTAGAATAACATTAGAAACACCCAAATCTTTTATTTCGAAGTATTTTTTCAAAAACTGTTTAGTCTTATTAACCACATCTAAATTAGTTCCCATTATTGGCATATCATCAACATATAAACAAATTATCACATCACAATTATTTTCAAATTTGCTGTATATGCATTTATCTACTTCAGTTATTACATAACCACTTGATGTCAAAATTGTATTAAATTTTTCATGACATTGCTTAGGGCTTGTTTAAGATTATAAAGGAATTTTTTAAGACTACATAGTTTATCATAAAGGCCTTCTACAACAAATCCTCATGTTGGTCTATATAAATCCCCTCTTCTAAGTCTCCATTTAAAAATGCAATTTTGTCATCCCTTTAATGTATAATAAGATCGTATAATGAAGCAATAGCAATTAACATTCTAATAAAGGTAATCCTAGTAACAGGTGAGTAAGTATCAAAAAAGTCAACTCATTTTTTTGTCTATAGCATTTAGCTACAAATCTTGCTTTAAACTTATCAATCAAACCATTATGTTTAAGTTTTTTCCTTAAACAACATCTATACCCAATAGTCTTACATCATTGAAGTAAGTCTACTAACTCCTAAGTACTATTAGACATAACTGAATCATATTCACTATTTACAGCTTTCTTCAAAAATATAGAATCTGATGAAAACCTAGCTTCACCATCATCATCTACTAAGAAGGTTTAGAAAGTCAGGATCGAAAATAATAGTGGTCCTAATCTTTTGCTTCTCCTAATTTCAACTTCTTCTTATTTAGTAGATTCTTCTATAACACTAGGAGGAATAATAAAAGAATTACTTGGTCCTTCAGACTTTTCTTTAAAAGGAAATCTATTTTCAAAAAAATTCAGCATTTCTAATTTAAAAAATTGTGCTCTTTTCAATCAAATTATTTTCAGAGTCAACGACTAAAAATATGTAGACATTACTGTAAATGGCATAGCCAATAAAATACAATCAACAGTTTTCGAACCAAGATTAGTTCTCTTAGGTGTTGGAATGGAAGTTTTAGCCAAATACATCCACATTTATATGAAGGTGTTTTACCATTCCACATTTCATAAGGGGACTTATTATTTTTCTTATTGGGTATTCTGTTAAAAAAGTAACATACAGTAAGAAGGGCTTCCCTCACATGTTAAAAGGTAATCCAAAAGAGTTTAGCATTGAAATGACCATATCCTAAAGAGTTCCATTTTTTCTGTCAGCTACACCGCTAGATTGGGAAGAATAACGTAGAGTAGTCT